GATATAATAATAGGCTACTACTAGGATATATTATTACTAGTACTTATGTTAGGATATATTAGTAATAGTACTTATTAGCTATATTCATACTGTGGAGTTGGCATTTCATTTATTATATTTGTTAATATTCCTTATTGAATTATGTTATTATTGCTTCAATAAACACTAAGTTTTATCACTCAGATAAAATTTTTATCATTCAGATAAAACTGAATAATGTATCCATTAAATAGAATATGAATAATATGAAGCAAATAAATAATTTTGCCATAAATATCTAAGGTCTTAGTTTAAAATATTCTTAGTAAGTTAAATAAATAAAATATTTGGACCTTTTGAGAAAAAAGAGCAAAACAATAAAATTGGATAGAAGTTTAAGCAATGACATTTGAATTATGCATAGAGTTATACATTCCAGAAGGGACTAAATTACCAACAAATACATCTTAAATACCTTTTAAATTGAATTTCAAGTCATCTGAAGATTTTCTTTGCTTTAACCATAAACTAATATTTGCAGAAGAAAAAAAAGCTGAGATTGATTAGTACTAGGTTTCAAACAACATGTGAAATACGTTTATATCTATAAAATACAAGCCTAATCTTATTTGCTAATGACCACAAATGACATATAATCAATGCACAATGAATCAACTAAACAGATAATTAGCTTTGTGGTTTGAGGTATAGAAGAAAAACAGATTCTTAAAGCTCTTAATTGTCTTTCCAAATTATATATCCCGCTTAGCATGTAGTCTTCTGGATGGCAACTGGGATCCAGAGATTGTTATTTGAGCAGAATAAAAAAAGACAAAAAGAGGGGCAGGTGGAGGGTTAGAGATGGGAAGGGATGGGAAGGGGTAACAAAGGAGGAGGCAGCAATGTTTGAAAGGAAATGTACTCATTACCTTGCTCATGTAATTGAAAACCCTCTGTAAGGTATTTTCACACAAAAAGACAAAAGCAAAGCAAAACAAAACAAACAAAAAGCTGGCACACTTGAGATCTGTCCTTAGCCACATAGAAGATTCCACGGAAGCTCTTCCAAGAACCTCGACCCAGCCGTCCTCTCAAATGTCCCACTAAGAGAATTCCAAGCCTGGACCAGTGATCCATTGTCTTCATCGTCCTCTCCGAATTCTCACAAAGCATGGTGGCTCTACTTCGTTGCTTTGTTCTTCTCAGTAACAAGCTCTCTAGCCCTGGACCTCCCAGCAAACAAAAATGCTGACCCAGAATGGCAGAGATGGACATGCCTTATGCCAGAGGGGAAGAAAGCTAGCAAATTGGAGATCATCTCCAATTAAAGAAAGGCCATTCCGATGTACCTGCAGATTCCGTTTAAATAATGATGGGGAGGCTTCAGAAAACGCAAGATTAGGGAGCTGATAAGGGCAAAAATCCTAGAGAGTGATGGACACCAGACAATCACAATCTGTAGTCAATGCTCCTGGATGCTACAAGACACGGTATCCTGTGATTCATTTTTCAAGATTTTTGTGGTGTTTTCCTTTTTTAAAAAAATTCATTGTCACTATAATTGTGATAGACAGAAGGGTTACAGTTACAGAAGTCAGGAGAAGAGTAAATTTGGGGAGGGACCATGTCATCCATTCCCTCCCTATTTCTCAGTTTCCCCTCACCCCATCCCCACCCACAAATTTTTGTTTGTAATTTGGTCCTGTGAATGAATTTCTTCCTACCTCAGTGCTAGAAAATTGTTTGTTAAAGTCTGGGAGAGGTGCAATAGTCATTTGAAGACATGTAACCCATATTGGATTGTTTATGTGTTGGGTAATAATTAGGAAAGAGATGACTAACTCATTGATAATAGAGATTTTGATGTTAGTGTATGAGTCAGTAGTAAACAAATTTTCATATAAGGGGGGTGAAGAAGCTCCTATTTTTGAGAAGCTCTAGTTGAAAATAGAATTTGAAGTTGAGGACAAACAAGAGCAAGAAACAATAATTCAGCCATGAGTGGTGACACATTTCTGTAATCCCCATACTCAGAAAGCCTGAGGTAGGAGGATCATGAGTTCTAGGCTAGCTTTGGCTACAGAGTGAAAGATAACCTCAAATCAAACATGGGGGGGGGGAGGGAGGGGATAAGGAGAGAGAATGAAAACAGGAGCAAGGAAGAACTAAATGGATTGTATGGAGTTTATAATCCATTGTAATGCTCTTGAATGGATATAAGCATTTTAACTAACTGATAAACCTAATTTTAACTGATAGACCTAATTTTTAATTAAAATATTACAATATATTTTGATAGTAGAAAGCAAAAAATTAGCCATTGTTGCTAGATAATATTATAAACCCATGTTGTTTCTTTAATCTCACACTCAAGTTTGGTCATGTGTTCATCTGATTATAATCATGCCTTTAAAGCACAAATCCACAAGAGGAAAAATAAAATGTTGTTACTTGTGTGGTATGTCAAAAATCAAATGCTAATTAATTGCTGAAGCAGGAAAAAAGACAAATCGTGAGGGAGAATTATAGAAAGGGTGACAAATTTAAATATGTTGTGCACATAAATCTACAGGTTGGGTTTAAATTACTTTGTATGACTATTTAAAGGATAATGAAAAAATTATAAAGATAAAAAGTTCAAAGTTAAAAAACTTCATCATGCTTCTCTTGATAAAAGATTAATTTTATAATCTTTATTTCTTTGAAAATCACTTACCAGACACTAAGCCATTTCTTACTAATAATGCAGATGACATTAATTGCTCTACCTATGTTAAACAACTCTATGTTACAGATGATGAAAATGAAATCTAGGAAAGATTGTCAATTACTCAAAATTCAGGAGAATTTACGTTTTGTAAGAGGAATGTGAATGAAATGAATGAATGTGCATATTTACGATTGTCTTTTAACATTAGGAGGGTCTAGTGTATAGCTTAATTGATGGAGTTTGGAAGAGTGATGTCTAGACACAGGTTGAGTTTGTACTTTGCTTTTCCCTACTCTTCTTTCCCCTCCTTCTGTTCTGCTCCCTTCTACTCCTTCTGTTCCCCTCCCCATCGTCTGTTCCTCTCCTCTATCCTTCATTGACTTCCTTCGCCTTCCTTCCCATGCCCTCCATTTCCCTTTCTTTCTTTTATGAGTGTCCTGTAAGTATTCTAGAATTTTTTGAATTTTTAAAAATCATTATAAGTTTTCCTTATATATTTTAAACAGATGAAAATAGGTCACTTTAGAACAAAGCACAGGAAAATCTTTGGAGAGCCATACATCAAAGTTTTGAGGAAGAGGAGCCTAGAACAGTTATTCTGAATAAAAGGTAACATCGGAAAACACATATTAAAACTTTCCTTGAAAACAAACAGCAACAACAATAAATACAGACATTTGAAGGAGGCAAAAATCTAGATTACATTAATATTTGAGTACTTGACCACACCTATTTTCTTGTAGTAGTGCTTGGCATGTGGCAAACTATCTATCTTCTCCAATGTTTTATTATTATATTTACTCCTGAATATTCAGTTTTAAATATCTACATCTCTATTTATAATGCTTTTTTTAAGCTGAAGAGCTAGGTATTGTCACTCGTATTTGTAATCTAAGAAACAGTGAAAGTAAAGGTCAAGAAGATCATATTTTGAGACCAGAACCAACACAAAGTTAGCAAGATCTACACCTCAATAAACAGGACAGGCTTGGTGATTCACATATGTAATTGCAGCTGTGTTGGAGGAAAAGCAAATATCATCAAAGCCCATTTGGAAAATAAAGAAAAAGTGAAATCAGCTAGAAAGAATGGGAATAAATTCAGGACTCTAAATCCAAACCCTAGTAGACCCAAAGACAAACAAGCAAAAGTAAAGTGGTGCAATGATTACAGTGAATATTTTCTACATATTATATAACATCAATATAGTATCCTTATTTTACCCATTAGATTCTCTACTGTCTATTGCAATAAATTATAAATATATATAAATATAATGTTTTCAAATACATGAAAAAATGTGTCCAAGCTTAAAATTGCAATCATACTTTTACCACTTAAGCGTTTTGTACCTTGAAGAAATAAATTAGTAAATAAGTAAATTCTTGAAATCTTAGTTCCTGTTTCATGAGCCTATTGAGAAAATTATTAGATTAATTTCACAAAATCATGATTCCTTTATGTGTTAATTTTCTCTTTACCATAATCACTTTCACAATAGGCATCACTCAAGGCTAAGAAGACACAATAGAGAAATACAGACAGTGAACTGTTCCTTGTTGCTTTCATTCCAGTATGGAGAAGGCAGGCAAAATTCAGTAAGAGTAAATAAGAAAACAAAAATAATTATTAGGATGGTAATGAGGCTAAGAAGAAAATAACACCATGTTTTCTGATGAGGAGTGATTGAGAAGTCACAGGAGGCATCTCTAGGAAGGTGGTGTTTGAGCTGGAACAGGAAGGATGAATAAATGAAACCAGGGAGAAGAGTGGAAAGAGCCAATACTTAGCATATGGGGAGAAAGTGGAATATTTGAACATCACTGAAGAGATCATTATTGCTGACATGAAGGGAGTCATCCAGGAGCCATAGATGCAGAAGAAGGATAGAATGTAGAGGATGGCTGTGTACAGTTTAATATCTCTTCCAAAGTAGGAGTCAATTAAAAATTTAACAAGAACAGTGGGAGATGAAAGAGTAGACTAAAAATAAATTAACAGTAGCTGAAGACAATTTTAACCATGAGAAAAATTTTAAAAACTATTTTAAAATACAATTTTATTATAATTAAAGTGTTATACAGAGGGGTTACTACACTATTTCATAAATTGGGTAATGAATATACTTCCTGTTTTAGACAGAAATGCCACCCATTTCTTTGCACTCCCTTGGGTTCCCCCTTACCTCCCTCCCTGTCCACAGGTTACATAGTTCATTTTCCACATAGCATATACTGAATAGCATGAATGCACTTGTTCACTCTTTCTCTCCATTTTCCACACCCTCCCTTTACCCTAACAAAAGATGTGAAGTATTCGAGTGAATTTGATGAATTTGGATGCCATCCCTGTACAGGGGTTATGCTAATGTTCCCTGTATCCTTCCAGCTTTAGTAAATGTGCTGCCAAACACCTAAAAGTATTTAAAAGTGAAAATGTAATTTAATAAAAACAATAAATTATAGCATTAAATGTATGCATTTGAAAAGAAGATAAAAACCAACAATCTAAAATTTTCAATTTAGGAAGTAAGATGAAGAAAAACAGATTAAATCCCAGTTAAGTGGAAGACTATGCATAATAATTCTTAGAGCAGAAATCAATAGAATTGAAAGTAGGAAATGAGCAAATCAACACAACTAAATACTGGGTACTTAGGAAATCAGTAAAATTGATAAGCCAAACCGGGGAGGGGGGGGTGGAAGAGAAAGAGAAAAAGAGAGAAAGGAATAAAATTTAAATGACTAATATCAGAAATGAAAGAGGAGACAATTCTACAGATCCAACAGACACTAAGAAAATAAAATAACACTATGAACAACTCATGCTCACAAATATTTTAACCAAGAAGATGGGGATCAAATATTTGAAAGATATAAATTGCTAAGAAGTAAACAAGAAGGAATAGAAACTATGAATAGCCTGGTATCCATGGAAAATGGAATCAACACTAAAAAATTTACAAAACAAAAGGTGATCCATTCTTTATACTCTTACATATTATATTAAATTCTCATATATTTTTGAAAACCTGAAAAAGTAGATGTTAATGATGTGTCAGTTCCGGCTGACCCATTTTAACAGGCTTAATACTATTATGCAGAATGGGGATTATTGGCAAGTTTGTGTATTTATATGGACAGAGTGTTTACATGGAAACACAGTATTTTTTTCAGAGTATGTACACATCTAAAGGCCTGTTGGTTATTGTGAGTGGAGAGTTTTGCTGAAAAGACAGAAAAACAGCAGGACTGATAAGGATTCTGATACTCAACAATGGTATAACAGCAATAGATACAAAGGAAAATAAAATTTATCTCTCTCATAGCTAGAACCAATTGGAATGGATAAGTAACAACAAAAATGACTGAGTTTCTTTAGTTTAAGAACTAGTTATATTTTGGTATCATTTACTAAGGAGAAGAAACACATTGGAAGAATATGTTTTATCAATCTATTTTTTGGTAATAGAATTGAAGACTTGAACATACTGTATTTATACTATTATAATGTTACATTTCAAAAAGAAGCTCGATATCACACCTGGAACATTCCAAGAACCCTGACATGGGTCTGAGAGTCAGTAAAAATAGCTAAAAGGCAAAATTATGAAAGGAGAGAAGACTGACTGAGGAATGTGATGAGATAAAAGTAATTAGGCTTGGAATCTGAGAAATTCCAAAATTGAAACGTCAAATAAACAAAAATAGAATTAAAAAAGAAATAGAGAAATAAGAACAAATAAGTGAAAGAATAAAGTTATAGTACCTAGAGAACATGGCAGGATATTCTGCATTAATTGCATTGCAGTTACATATTACTGTAGCTTGGCTGCCTGTGTTATAATTTACGGTACATTGGGGAAAATCTTTTTTTTTTTTTTTACTAGATGGTATTCATCTTCTCAATGATTCTCTTTCCTTGTGTTGTATCATGTAGTTTCTGCTTCTTTGTTGACTACATAACTGTTTTATTCTGAGTTTCACCCCAAAGAAGATATATTTATTATGCTCTTCTTGGTTCTTTCTTCTTTGCTGATGGCTCTGTCTCTTTTATATTTTCTATGGCCTGTTTATCCCGAAAAGAGAGGTAAAGTCATATTGTAGATCTGGCCAACCATTTCTCTGGATCAGTGAATAATTTTCTGTACACGAGAATTTATATTTGCATTCACATTACCAAAGTAAGTTATTCATTTTAAGAATGAAAATCCCAGCTTCTCGGAGGTATTCCAAAAGAAGGAAACTCCAATATCAATTTTAATTATAATAAAATGAAAATTACTTCAAATAATATTTTCTATTTTCCTCATGATGATACACTCTGATGTAACAATCTTGAAAAAGCAATTTGGTATGTTGTCAAAGCCAAGGCCATGAATGCTGATTACATTCTTTGGGTGAATAGGCAATTAATTTATATCTACTCCCTCATCCACAATATTTGGGTTGCTTTTGCTAGGAGAGACTTGAAGAAGGCAGGATTAAGACTGAATTTTGAAAAATAAACAAATTATTGATATTATCTCTTGTCTTGCAAAGTGGATATTTACCCTAATAAGAGCTATATCTGTCCTGTAGGTGCACATTGTCTTATATATGTGTCCTGTTTGCTCTATGATTGACTGTCTGCCCTGTACTATTTTGGTTTTGTTTACAATGTCTAATCATTCATGAAAAGATGCATTGATACTGTGAAAGGCTTACTATCTGGCGCACTTTATCACACTGGTACCAAGTGAACTTGTTCCATCTAGGCGTACAGATTTGTTTTCTCTGGCAAATTCAATAATTAAAAGGCAGTCAGGAGTTTAGAATAGACAGAGGACGTTTATTTGGAAGTAAATGAAAAGCAAGGAAAGGAAAGTAGCACAATAAACTCTCCATGGAAAGGGCCTCCAAAGATTGGAGTTCACTCAAGGAGCAGTTACTATAGTATGGTGATTCCTTCTATACTTCCTTCCCAGGGCTTTGTAGTGACTGCTTAATGGCTTTATATGTACCACCTCAGCTTTTTTCATTGCTTGAGTGGGAACCCAGGACATTATGGAACAACAAAGCACCCTGACAGGCTGCCACATCTTGTCTGCTGTGTGTCAGGTCTGCCAATCTCCCTAACAGAGTAGGCCTAACCCCTCCTCAGAGCAATAGGTATTAGGGAGTTATTAAACAAAAATTCTCAGAAATGACCAATATTAGTCCATAAGATTAACAAATTTCATGACTGTGAGCTGGAGCTTTCATATCCTTGAAAACAATATATTTAGTTCAAAATGATGGAATGTAGGAATATTTGCCCACTTGTAAATTGAATGTTTGTATATTTTTGAGACAGCTTCCACAGAATTGTTTCAGAATTGTTTTACTAATGAAAACAAAATCACATTTAGATTTGGTTCAACACATTTGGTTAACTGTATTAACAATGCCACTGTGGTAATTAAGCTAAAATCATGTTTGCTTTGCCATATTTATACACAATTTTATGGACTTTGAGATATAAACATATTCATTAGAAAAAAAACAAGAGAGAAAAAGAGAACAATTCTCTAAAATAGCAAGTTTTTAAATTTTTTAAATTTTTATTGTGTAAATACTGTACAGAGGGGTTACAATTACATGGGCAAGGTAATGAGTACATGTTTTATCAAGCATTGTTGCTTCCTGCTCATTTTTCTTGTACTTCTCATTGTTGCATTGGGTCCACCAGTATCCCTATTTAAACAATTTGTTTTTCCCCTTCCCCGTCACAAATTATACCAACATCAAATACAGTGAAAACAGGGATTATACCATGGGAGAGGGACATACAAAGCAACAAAGAAATCATCTTATAAATATGTTAGAAGCAATCATAAGAAAAAAAAATTTGAGTCCTTACCTTGGGGTTCATTTTGCCTAACATCAACTAATCTGACCGTTTCTGCTTGTCTCAGACATATACTAGTAATTTCAAATAAGGGAAACCATGGGACCTATGTTTCTTTGGGCCTGGCTTACTTCACTTAATATAATTTTTTCCAAGTTTTTCCATTTTCTAACAAATGAAATAGCAAGTTTATGATGTAGCATCATATGATGTGAAAATGAATACATTCATGTGCCATAGAGCCCCTGGAGCCTAACATTTTTATCTACAAAACTCTCAAAACTTGGTTTTTACTTGGCCATCAGAATATTTTTTGTGTTGAGGCAAAGGGGTAATAGCAGTTATAAACAGAGGACATTTACCCTGAAAATAAACCAACCCCTTCAGCCAACTCACACATTTCAAAGAGCCAAATGCTTGTTGTTTGGGCCATACAAACCTTGACAGATTAAGTCTGCTTGCCTGTCAGAAACCAACCTGAAATGTCAGCTATATGCCTTGCATTATGGACTACATGGATATTCAAGCCAGTTAATAAAATAACAGATATGCTAATTCCTACACAAAAACTGGCACTGTTCATTCATCCCCTAAATTAAACCACTTTAATTGTTAAGAATGTATTTACATGTCTTCTGCAAAAGCTTTGCTGAGTGGAAGATCATTTTCTAATGGCTCTAGCATATGACAATGTTAAAAACAATATGCTGGAACCCGACTTGCAGAAAAGTGAAGAGTGACAGATCATTGCATACATACATAATTTTAATTTTAAAAGACTTACTAATTAGATAAGAATATAATGAAGGGTACCTGACTGACATAAACCCACAGACTATCTGTCACTTCTGTTCAAACAGAAATTCTACCAGCCAAGTGATCATTTCCATTTAGAGTCCCTCAGAGTAAATAAACAAGTAGCCTTTTATGAAAAATGTCTATGTCCAATTAGGAGCAGTACTGCGGTACTAGTACTGGTACTGGGTTTCTAGGCTGGCTTGTCCCAACAAAATTTAAACAGCCAAGAGATGTGAGTCTATGTACATAGGAATTTCCTGTTAGTAAAAGTCAGACTAAAAGCACAGGTGTAAGAAATAGTTGATAAGAATCTTTACAACATAGTACAAAACTACAAGGGATTTCTAAATGAAGGGAAAAATATAAATAAACCTTTTCTGACTGTAGCATGCAGTGATTATAGAAAGGAGATGACCACCTATGGAGATAAGAAGCTATTTCCTTGATAGTAAAAAAAAAAAAAAAAGAAAGAAAGAAAAGTCAGTGTGGAGACTACACTTGCAATGCCTGGTTTTGTTTATTTTCTAAACTAATATATATATATATATATATATGTATACATATACATATATACATATGTGATATATATGTATATACACATGTATATATACATATATACATATATGTATATACATATATACATACTTATGTATATATGTATATACATATACATATATATATAGGCTTCTGTGCTTGGAGGCAGTGAGCTCACGCTCAATATCTGTACTTTTTCCGTAATAATTTAAT